TGTAGAAATGCAACACCCTGAGTAGTATGAAATTCATACTATGAATGCTACGACAATTCAAGACATCTGCTAATTCAATGTCCTTCCGACCTGATTCCTACACAACACTGATGTCGATCGAATTCATCAACAACATCGCCAAACTATCGGGTCGATAGTATCGACTATGCTGTCGGTTTTTCCTCTTTTGCTGCTTCTGGTCGTCGTCATAACCGACATGCCTCGATGACAATGACGATGGACAGAGATCATAAAGAATGCAACAGAAGCGACAGTAGTAAGCACCGCCTATATTCCCTTGTATGCGCCACCAGGTGGAAGCAAATTGCACGTGTATGAGAGGATAAGCTGGATATTGTGTACAACAAGTGCAGTTTATCCTCTCATATTACTTGTGTGAGTCCAAGCACTAGAGCGCGGCCATCTGGCATTATAATTGAGCCTCGGTGACTGAGATTCAGTCGCTGAATATTGGTGAAGAGTTAATACGACGGTAACCGCCCCCTCGCGTCACGCGGTTCCATTCCGCCGTGTCACGCCGTTCCATCCCGTTGCGTCACGCTGTTGCGTTCCGTCGCGTGACCCCGCAACGTGTCTACGTGTCACCCTATCTTCAGCTGCGCTTAATGTGGGTTAGTCAGTCATATTCTGCACTATTTTCCTCATTTCATCAACTCCAACGTTCTAGCCTCTCTTGGAGAGTACGTGCTCTCCATCTTGGCCTTCGTAGATCCAGCCCACCTCTCTAAGGCTGTTTTCCGCCATGGCGCCCTCTAATTATTATGGATCATCTCCTCTGTTGCCCACGTGTGCATTGATCATCTTGGGAAGTTTCTTCCGCTATGTGCTTCAGTTCGCTCACAGTGAAACACACTGTCATCTTAATATCTCTGTTCCTCGCTATCATAAGCCCTCATTGGACGGATTAAATCCGTCCCAATGAGGGCTTATTAAATCCGTCGGATTTGGTGATGAGTGATTCTTCATAGCTCGAGTTGAGCTTCTAAAGTTCGTGCGTGGATAGACGTTGCGAATGGTCCGACTCTGTTTGCAGTTCGGCAGCTACCGGCTTCATGGCTTTTGTCAGCGTCGCCCTCCAAACTTCCAATTGTAGGAATTTTCGTCTCGCAATGACTCGTCTAGTCATCGAAATCGCCGAGAAGGCTATCGGCGCCGCGCTCCTCTTGTTTGCCCTGTGTCATCTGGAGGGATGTGCTTCGTCGTCGGACAGCAAAACCTCTACAACCAGCCCCACTGCTACGATCCCCCCTGCTACGTTAGGGCCTGCCGTGAAGCATTCTTGTCTTCAATACTTCGCTCTCACTCCGAAAGTGCTGCAGCACAGTTACGATCCTGTGAATATACGCCTCAAAAAGGGTGTGAACCCGCTAGCTGGAGATGCTGTGGTCTTTGCTTTAAAGGATAACGCGAGCTACTCCATGCTGCGGGTGGTCGCGTCGGCAGCAGATGGTCCCGACGGTTACGAGCTCCGACCCGTCAACCCACGCGGTGGTGGATACAGGGTCAGCTATCAAGCAGCTAATGGTGAAGTGGCGTGTATCACAGACTTAACCTTCGCTCAAGGTGATGACGAACCAACGCAAGCTTATCTTACTGTCACTGGTGATGATAGTCTTCAAGTGAATTGGGTCAGCGGCTCGAGTGAAAGGGGTGAAGTACTCTATAAGAAGCCCGGCACCACCACGTGGACTCTATTTAATGAGACCAGTCTGGCTCGCACTTATAAGGCGCAAGATATGTGCTCCGCGCCTGCTACAAGTGAAGCGTTTCGGGACCCGGGATTCTTCCATTCGGTAACAATCCCAAACGTGGAGCGAGATTCCGTCCTCCAGATCAAGACCGGCAATGGTGTATCAAAAGAGTTTACCACATCTCCCCGCCTTCTCGCTGGGGACGCTCTAAGACACAGCGTGTTCATGGTTGGTGACTTGGGCACGAGTGGGGCCGGCCAGCTCGGGGGCTTCAACGGCTTCGGGTTCCTACAATTCCCACCTTCGGATCCAGATCGCATTTTGTCGCATATGCGACAGAATGACAGAATCCGACTAAGCATCATTTATGGCGATCTCGCATATGCCAATGGCTTCTCTACCGTATGGGACCAGTTCGGTGCTGAAGCTGAACACAACTTTGGTATGAAACAACCGCTGGTTACGAGCGTTGGCAATCATGAATACGTATCATCCGATAATCCTCACGGATGGTACCCTCCTTTCGGTAATTATGATTTCCCCGACTCCGGTGGTGAGTGTGGCGTTCCCTTCACTCATCGTTATCCGGTCGGCTCAGAGGAGGCAAAGTATTGGTATTCGTTTGACTATGGTTTGGTACATTACGTTATGATTTCTACCGAGCATAATTATCTCAACGGGAGCGATCAACACAAATGGCTGGAAGATGATCTCGCTAATGTTGACCGGAACAAGACCCCATGGGTCATCGTTACTGGTCATAGGCCGATGTACACGTCCTGCGCCTTAGACAAGTTCAACGGGGATATCGCCGAGGAGCTAAAATCCAATGTGGCTCCTTTGTTTAAGAAGTACAATGTAAGCATCTACTTCACTGGCCACATACACGCTTATACTCGTACTTCTGCTATTGACGGCACGGTCCACATTCTAGCTGGCTCGGCGCGATTCTTGAACCTTGTATGTCCAATTGGCACCATGCCTCATGTGGAGAAGGCTTTAAGTGTGATTGGTTACATTGAGCTCGACGTTGTGAGCAGGAGTGAACTCCGTGGGACATTCTGGGGATATAATGTCACTAGTGGGGAGGTGACTGTACAGGATACTTTCATAGTTGGAAGTTAGTGACAATCAAACTCTCCTCCCACTTGCACTTTCCCAGTCAGAGGTTCATCTTGATTCGCTTCGTAGGCAATTGCCCTTTCAGCATGCACCAACTTCGTATAAAATTCTCCCTTCAAGTCATCTTGATATTGTAATGAATAGTCAGCTCAAAAAATCCCGCATGGGCTCATTCACATGCATCAGGTCCGCTCGCTGTTATTTGCGGAGGGGAAGTAGGATTCCCATCGATGTTGACTGCAGTCCTTGATCTTTATCTGTCACCGCGGGGCATTATATTCGTCATTTTCTGTCACTTGGATGTTGCTTTTGGAGTGGTCATGCAACAGATCGCTGATGGCAAATTGGCAACCCGCATAGGAGTGATTTCCCACCTATAGACTGACTCGATATTAGTTGCGTGGAGTTTGGACTCCACTACTGGAGGAATAACACTACTAATAACAAGGTGTGTCATCTCGGTGCAGCATGTATGATATAATATCATGCAAGAATTGCAGTATTGCTGCAGTATTGCTGCAAATTTTCCGCTCAAGTTCAGGATCTGAACACCGGAAATTCTCAACACGGTGACCTTTGGATCACGGATCAAGTTTCTCCTCAATGATCATAGAACAGAATCGAAAATGAGGATCACGAGAGATCCAGATCACAGATCAGGGATCAGTATCGAGGTTCAGGGGTCGAGATCAACAGTCGAGGATCAGGATCAAAGATCACGGATCAAGAATCACAGATCTGACTCACCACGAGTCAATCACGCACCTCGGATCACAATGTATTGGGCTCAGGCGTCACGATCAACGAGTGATCTAGATCATGCGCTTGATCTATGGATAAGGGTCCGCGTACCGGCCCAGATGTGAAACCTCATATTCGCGTATCATAAATGATGGAGGAGTCGCTAGTAGATGCTGTGTTCTACCCGAGTCCCGTGCTCGGCGTTCAGCATATACCCCATTGTAGGCTAATGCTGCAATGAGGGATGTATGATTTCTCTACTCGTAAGTGAAGCTAAGGGGCAAGGGCTGATGCAAGCAGCATCAGCCCTTGCCCCTTAGCCATTTCTATCTGGGCGCGCAGCAAACGCGGAAGCCATATCCTCCCTTGCGTCACGCGGTTCCATCCCGCCGCGTCACGCCGTTCCATCCCGTTGCGTCACGCTGTTGCGTGACCCAGCAACTGGTCTAAGTGTCACCCTATCTTCAGCTGCGCTTAATGTGGGTTAGTCAGTCGTATTCTGCACTATTTTCCTCATTTCATCAACTCCAACGTTCTAGCCTCTCTTGGAGAGTACGTGCTCTCCATCTTGGCCTTCGTAGATCCAGCCCATCTTTCTAAGGCTGTTTTCCACCATGTCCGCCCTCTAATTATTATGGATCATCTCCTCTGTTGCCCACGTGTGCATCGATCATCGTGGGAAGTTTCTTCCGCTATTTGCTCCAGTTCGTTCACAGTGCAACACACTGTCATCTTAATATCCCTGTTCCTCGCTATCATAAGCCCTCATTGGACGGATTAAATCCGTCCAATGAGGGCTTATTAAATCCGTCGAATTTGGTGATGAGTGATTCTTAATAGCTCGAGTTGAGCTTCTAAAGTTCGTGTGTGGATAGACGTTGCGAATGGTCCGACTCTGTTTGCAGTTCGGCAGCTACCGGCTTCATGGCTTTTGTCAGCGTCGCCCTCCAAACTTCCAATCGTAGAAATTTTCGTTCTCGCAATGACTCGTCTAGTCATCGAAATCGTCGAGAAGGCTATCGGCGCCGCGCTCCTCTTGTTTGCCCTGTGTCATCTTGAGGGCTGTGCTTCGTCGTCGGACACCAAAACCTCTACAGCCAGCCCCACTGCTACGGTCCCCTCTGTTACGTTAGGGCCTGCCGTGAAGCATTCTTGTCTTCGATACTTCGATCTCACACCGGAAGTGCTGCAGCACAGTTACGATCCTGTGAATATACGCCTCAAAAAGGGTGTAAACCCGCTAGCTGGAGATGCTGTGGTCTTCGCTCCAAAGGATAACGCGAGCTACTCCATGCTGCGGGTGGTCGCGTCGGCAGCAGATGGTCCCGACGGTTACGTGATCCGACCCGTCAACCCACGCGGTGGTGGATACAGGGTCAGCTATCAAGCAGCTAATGGTGAAGTGGCGTGTATCACAAACTAACCTTCGCTCAAGGTGATGACGAACCAACGCAAGCTTATCTTACTGTCACTGGTGATGATAGTCTTCAAGTGAATTGGGTCAGCGGCTCGAGTGAAAGGGGTGAAGTACTCTATAAGAAGCCCGGCACCACCACGTGGACTCAATTTAATGAGACCAGTCTGGCTCGCACTTATAAGGCGCAAGATATGTGCTCCGCCCCTGCTACAAGTGAAGCGTTTCGGGACCCGGGATTCTTCCATTCGGTAACAATCCCAAACGTGGAGCGAGATTCCGTCCTCCAGATCAAGACCGGCAATGGTGTATCAAAAGAGTTTACCACATCTCCCCGCCTTCTCGCTGGGGACGCTCTAAGACACAGCGTGTTCATGGTTGGTGACTTGGGCACGAGTGGGGCCGGCCAGCTCGGGGGCTTCAACGGCTTCGGGTTCCTACAATTCCCACCT